CATAGACATAAATGAATAGGATTTCCTTCCAATGTTATATAGTATATAAGGATATGCTTAAAATTTCCTTAAATGCATTTTTATGCTTTCTTTTAATGTATCCATGTGCCTTTTCTTTCCAATGGTGAATCTCTCAAACAGACGAATCTTGATTCAGTGATTTGCAAACTGGCCAGAAGGCTGGTGTTCAGTGGATTAAAGGATTGTAATCACATAGATAAAGACAGTTCTGTTCTTGCCTGAAGTGTTAGAATTCTTTAATAACCATTAGTCCCCATTGTTCTGAGACACCCCTGAATTTAATACTCACTCTCTTTATTTGAAATAATGATTTCCCAAAGATCACAGATTCGTTCTCAGCATTTCTTTCATCTGTAAAATGAAAGCTTCAAGAAACTGGTGAGGATCCAGTGAAACACAATGTTCAGAAATTCTGGCTTCAGTGCCTGACATCCAATAGTTGTTCCACATATGATTGTTTAAAAGCAATAGACTGAACCCAGATGTCTGGGCTTCCAGTTCCATACTCTGCCCTCAGTTTTATGTAGTTTTGAATACTTTGTGATCAACATTTTTTTTAACCTGTAAAGAATCATGTCAACTACACTTCATTATAGAATATGACTTTTGTAATAAGTACAGAATGGTTTGCAAATAGTAACCATCAACGTTTTTGTGAGATAGATTTGTGAGTATTGGAAACAATTTCAGATGGATCGACTGTATGTGTTTAGATTAGGAGGAAACCCTTATACCGAAAGGTACATGTTATCCCTGACGAATCTTTAGAGTTGAGAATGGAATGAACACAGGGCTTCTACCTTCTGTTCACGCCAGAGAATATTCTGAGTCTCTCAAATAAAAGCACCGGATCAGCATAGCTAAGGAAAGTAAGAGGGCACCGAGTGTCTGTTGAGTGTTGGCAGAAATTATTGTGGCAAACAGTATGGAAAAAGGAAAAACTCCAGTTTGATGTGTGCACGGCTTCTGTGACATGTAAGTTATTGTAGAGAGACAATAAATGTTCCTTGAATAAATAAAAAACAGCGCGGCTTGACTTGCTTCATAAACACCTTGATCATTTTTGTTCTTTACTGTGCGTTCTGCCTTCTAAACCTTTATTTCTCCATCTCTGGGTTTGTGATTCTGTGTGTGTGTGTGTGTGTGTGTGTGTGTGTGTTGTGTTGGAAGGGTTGTTGATGGGGGGAGGTATTGTTTGAGAAGGGGGCAGGGAAGAACATGCCTCCCCTATAGAGAATCATTGTTTAAGTCAGTGTCTGATGGTGGCCACTGGGGCCCAGGGTCCACTACTTGGAAGAATTTAAAAAAGATCTTGCAATAATATGTGTCCTAAGAGGCCACTTCTGGTGGATCTGACACCATCCCTCAATCAATTTCAGCCTGGTTGTATTGTCAGACACAAAGACATTATGTTACAAACACCTACAAAAATAGAACAGAAATCCGCCCATGCAGTGACTGTTCCTCTTCCTTCATGCCTTCCTCTC